GCACTGATAAGTCCTTTATTTTTCAAGGATGAGATTTTCTTTATTATTGTTATTATAGTTATTGATATTATTAGTATTGATATGTTTTTCTTCTTTTCTTCTAAACCCCTCATTTGCATCCATGTTTTTGTTGGGGGTAGGGGGATGGCAAAGGAGATAGAGACAGAGGCCTTATGATGGGGGATCCCCCTAGCTTTGGCTACCCTGAGTGGTAGACCATTTCCTCTCCCTATATTTCAGGCTCACCATGGCCAATAATGAAGATGTTTTACTTTGATTTGGGGCATTAAGGCTTGACCCTTCATCAACTTGTCTATTAAAATTTTATTTCATTGGTTTCCCGAACCCTGCCTCTCCTTTGACCACGGCTCCAACTGATACTAATACCCCCTCCTCGATGTTTGCTGTCAACTCTATCTATTCCGAATCATCCACCCAAGTCTTGACTCAACCTGCAGAATACATCCCTCCCCTCTCCCAACATCTTCCGCTTCATCTTCTACAGCACAGTCTTCTTTATTGTCTATCCCAACCCCCTTATTACTACTCTTCATCGTCATTATCCCTCTCCATTCCACCCCACCTATCCGCCGCCCTCGTCCTTCTACTGCTTCGACCTCTGTAAACCTTTTGAGTACCCGGTTGCAGAGACATCACAGGAAAGAAAGATTTACTGGAAGGTGGTCAGTTGGGGCTGCATATATACATGTATATGCATATGCAGCACATGCGCACACGCACACGCAAACGCATACTGATATGCACAAACACATACACACACGACCTATCACTCTTTGCCCACGTATGTTGCCGTGATTGTGGACAATTTGAAGCTGCCTGATATGCTATTTTGATTTTTCCTGACACTATTTATGCAGCTTCCATTTTTATTTTATTTTTTTTTAATTCAAACCACCTTGGAACACTTAATACCTCTGAGATTTGTTCATAGTTCATGCTTATCATGAGGTACTTTTTAAGATGTTGACTTATATTTATATTTGTGATTTTCATATTAGCCACGATATAATCTATTCTAGAAAGAAATATGTAAATGTGGAGCATCTAGTTGACTGTTGAGGAAGTAAATGCATGTTTTCTGAAGCATAGAGGAAATTTATCACAGAGAGAGTGAGTGTGTGAGTGTGTGAGTGAGAGTGTGTGTGAGAGTGAGTGTGTGTGTGTGTGTGTGTGTGTGTGTGTGTGTGTGTGTGTGAGTGAGTGTGAGTGAGTGTGTGTGTGTGTGTGTGTGTGTGTGTGTGTGTGTGTGTGTGTGTGTGTGTGTGTGTGTGTGTGTGTGTGTGTGTGTGTGTGTGTGTGTGTGTGTGTTTGTTTGTTTATGTGTGTGTTTGTTTGTTTGTTTATGTGTGTGTTTGTTTGTTTGTTTATGTGTGTGTGTGTGTGTTTGTGTGTTTGTGTGTGTGTGTGTGTGTGTGTGTGTGTGTTTATGTGTGTGTGTGTGTGTGTTTATGTGTGTGTGTGTGTGTGTTTATGTGTGTGTGTGTGTGTGTGTGTGTGTGTGTGTGTGTGTGTGTGTGTGTGTGTGTGTGTGTGTGTGTTTATGTGTGTGTGTGTGTGTTTATGTGTGTGTGTGTGTGTTTATGTGTGTGTGTGTGTGTGTGTTTATGTGTGTGTGTGTGTGTGTGTGTGTGTGTGTGTGTGTGTGTGTGTGTGTGTGTGTGTGTGTGTTTATGTGTGTGTGTGTGTGTGTGTGTGTGTGTGTGTGTTTATGTATGTGTGTGTGTGTGTTAATGTATGTGTGTGTGTGTGTGTGTGTGTTTATGTATGTGTGTGTGTGTGTTAATGTATGTGTGTGTGTGTGTGTGTGTGTGTTTATGTATGTGTGTGTGTGTTTATGTATGTATGTGTGTGTTTATGTATGTATGTATGTATGTATGTATGTGTATGCATGCGTATGTGTATGAGAGGCAGAAAAATATGGAAGGAGGATATAAACCCTTTTACTTTTTGTATTTTTATTCTGGAAAATACAGAATTATAAGAAAAAAAAAAAGAAAACATCCTACCATTTAACAAGTAATTACTCTGTCGTTTGACTTTTCTTCTTCTTGGGACTGGTGTTCTTCCCCTTCACATTTTTCTTGGCTTGTCCCTTTGTGTTCTTTCCAGTGCTCTGAAAAGTAATAAATTCATTGGCATTAGAAAACACAAGGTCTGAAGTAATTTGACCCTAAACTCCTCTTTTGTCAAAATCATGCAAGGCCTGTCCAAAACTGGTAGGCCTTTTTCCCTACATCATTTCTGTTCTCAAAGAGATGTAAAGAGTCTATTATATAATCCCTATCCCCCCCCATGTTCCCTTCTTCCCCTAATAATAAATAAACACATAAATATTTATTCCAATGTCCTGTCTCGCCCGTTTACTCTTTTCTTTAATTTACAAAAATATTTTACGTTATCTTATTTTGCTGTTACTAATGTTTATAACATTATAGTAATTATAATGTTTATAATAAAAATAACACCATTGATATTCATAGCACTAGTAAAAAGTACATTTCCTCCACCAATTCAAATCAGGTAAGGTCACAGGGTCTACTAATTGACTCCTTTGTAGCTGAGCATTAGCAGAGACATTTCACAGAAATATAGAAAATGGGCAAAGTATTTTCCTCATTTTTTAATCATTTTTCCTGGCAGCATTGGGTTAATGATGGTCTGTATTACTATGTACTAGTACGCGCTCTGTATACATGAACACTTATAGACTGAGAGCTGGAAGGGCCAATGTCCAAAAATACCAATTTTGAGATAAGCATAACACTGAACTGGAAATTTTTGGTTCTATAAGTGTTATAAAGTTTAAGGTCATCAATGCATTAAGGATACCAACAGCATTGCTTCGAAATTCAACTCAGTCACATATATCCCAATACGTGACTGATTGCAACAAATAGCTGCATTTTGAGTACATAGCAACAGAAAGCTTCAGGTTGGCTGCCTTTACTATATCATATTTTCCTTAAAGTTAATATACCACTTTCAGTATACAAGAAATAGATTTTACAACTACAGAGAGAGAAGGGAGAAGAAAGGAAAAGAAAAGAAAAAAACTATGTGAATGCATTACAGAGTTACTGTCAAAGTAAGTTCATTTATCTATATCTTTAAGTAATAAAATGGTAGACAAACTTTAGAAATTGAATTAGGAGGAATAATTTAAATGTCAACATCACCAATCAGCAATAAATACACTTTTTTGGAATGATTGATTTGAAAGCACTATAAAAATATATTTATGAAAAATTCTCCCATTTTTCATTATGTAGGAAAATATCTTAAAATGGATTAGATTAATGCAACATAGTTTGGTTATAAAAAGAGAGAGAGAGAGAGAGAGAAAAAAAAAATTGAATTATTATTTGCTGAATTTTAATTTTTCCTAACATTAACTTTTAGGGCACTGGCCCTCATTATACCTAGGGATTGGCATCAGAGTCGGCAAAAAAAACGGGCTCCCCTCATGGTCATAGCCCGGGCGAGGCTCTGTATCGCAAATCAGACAAAAAAAAGAGTCGAAAACAAAGTCGGGTGTTTTGAGTACCCATTCCACAGCCCTTACCAATATCTATATCTATATCTATATTTACATATCTATATATCTATGGATTTTATATATATATATATATATATATATATATATATATATATAGAGAGAGAGAGAGAGAGAGAGAGAGAGAGAGAGAGAGTGAGTGAGTGAGTGAGTGAGTGAGTGAGTGAGTGAGTGAGTGAGAGAGAAAGAAAGAAAGAAAGAAAGAAAGAAAGAAAGAAAGAAAGAAAGAAAGAAAGAAAGAAAGAAAGAAAGAGAGAGAGAGAGAGAAAGACACACAGAAATTCCATACCTTCATCTTTATCCCTCCAGGCTTACTTTGAGGCACAAAGTACAGGACAGTCAACTTCACACCATTGCACCAGACACTGGAGGATGCTTCAAAGGCCTCTTTTGCATCTTTCCTGTTTTTGAAGATCAATTTTGCCTTGCTGGAAAACAAAATTTCTAATTAATAATGAGCAAAAATATATTTAATAAATAATAATAATATAATAATTCAACTATACTCCCTTTGTTACATTGGTTACTGTTGGTGTGACAAGCTGCCTGTTATTTTGCTTCTAAATTACCCTGGGTGCAAGGAAGGGCTGTGTTACCCTCCACTGGCAAAAACTATTTAGGGTTTCCAGTAAGATTTCTTGGGACTTTACTTTAATAACCTTCTTTTAAACGGTGATAATTAATTCTATCTGCATACATCATATAAATTTGTTTTCCTACCTCAAACTGGCCCCTCAACATTTCTTACCCTCTTCCTCCTTACTGACATAGTGTATAGTAATGCCTGTGTTACTGACAATTGGCATATAATTGCATTAACATATTTTCCTGTCTAATAACAAAATATTATAATTTCCTTAAATGTGTCCCTCAGAGGGTGGCAGACAGAGAAGAGAACTGGATATGTACGGTCAGAAGTGCTACTGGCTGTACACATATACATAAATATACTGGCAAACTTCTACAAAACTTCCCTCTTACCCTTTACTATGAGTGACAATAACAGAAAGAGCTGTTGGGAACTTCATCTTCAGGTCTGCATTTGTCATCTCGCTAGGCACATTTCCAATGTACAACCTACAATTTAGAGAAACAGTTAGATTCCACACGGAAGGTACATGGGGACTGATATCCTAATTTGTGCTTCTGGCCATGACAAGAAACACAACAAATAATAATTTATCCAACATATTCAAAGGAAAGACAAGTACCTGAGAAAGAAGAAAGCAACTTACCTTTTTGGGTGCACCATAATGGCATCAGGTCTCTTCACTTCTTTGCTTACCCTGCTCATGAACTTTGCATATTTGATCTGCTTGTTCTTTTGTAAGACGTTCTTCATTGCCTTTGCCTCCGCCTTTGTCTTATATTCCAAAAATATCAATTTTTTCCTGTGAAACAAATATATCTTAGTAAAACAAAAATA